TTTTTCTTGCTATTGGTAAGTAAGTCTTTCTGGTTGATTTTAGATACCTTAACTTTAGATACTTTTTACTCGACTGCGCCAGAAGGAGGGTTATTATCTGTATAGATAGTTAAGCAGACTGTCGAATTCAACAAAGGTGAATAAATTTACCTTTTAAAATACATAGTTGTAACAACCCTCTTACGACTTAATAACGATACTTAGAACATACTTTAAAACTTGGCAGAATCTTCGTACAATGAATACTCAAGTTGTTTAACTTCAAGCAAAATCTTACAAGGTACTGAGCGAAGGTAGACGTGAAGTTTTTCTTCTCCCAAAGTACCTACAAGCTTTACAAGTTCTTACTGGGAAACTTAGAAATCTGTCTGTTAACTAAGAACTTCATACTTAACGTTCAGGGATCATTTTAGCATATAAGTAATTTGCAATTCACACATTTTCTATTAAGAATTTTATCATCATATTTTCTTGTATCTTTTATACCTTGACAATCTTAAAAATTGAAAATTTAAATATGATGGTGTTAAAAACTGTTAAATATGCTCGAGAACTTGTGAAAAAAGATTGCCTTGTTTATTGTTATACGTGACACATAAATTGCATACTTAGGGCGAAATAAATGCCATAAAGCATTCTCTGCTAGGTAACTTTTGGGACAAATAGAAAATAAAATTAGATCGCCTTTAGCTCCTTGATATACCACCAAGACAAGACAGTTAACAACTTTATAAGAACAGTATAAGTTCATTACAAGCATTCATTGTAAGTTCATTACAAGCATAGGTATAAAAATTTGAAACTCCATAGCAAAATTAAAGCATAAAGTCAGAGCGTTATAACGTTCCGAAAGTTCTTGCCATATAAAAAGTGTTTAATTAGGCTCTTACCAGCGCACCGCCCTTAATGAGCTTCCGATGTATTGCTATTAGGGGCGATACTAAGCTTAAAGGGTTCGTACCCGAAGCTTGTAGTGAAGACTTGTTATTCGTGTTGCCTAATGTGATACAGTTTTATGCAATTCAAATAAAATACGATAGTGTTCATGCACAAAAACCATCAACCAACTAACTCGTTCCCACCGCTGCAACTCCTGTGTAGCCAGGATATACAGCTTGGCTGCCAATAAAAACCCAACCAGTGAAGGTCAAGTTTGCCCCGGGTATAGTTAAACTGTCATTGGACCCGCAACGAAATTTATCAGAATAACATAGAATACATCTTAGTAATTACACTGTTTATTTTCTGCTACTCGTCCCAAATGGGCCATAAGCTTATAGGACGGGCTGGTCAAGATGTAGGTACACTACGTACCGTACAACTGAAAATGTTATTCGTAACTTATTTTCTTCCTTCAATTTGCGTCATTACCAAAGAAAGAAATAAGTACAAAAAAAGTATCCGGAACAGTGTCCGGAACACACTCTTTGCCGGCTTTTACACGCAACTTAAAATGATCAATGAAAAGCTGTTAAATGGTTAAGTCATAAATATTCCCCGCTAAATGGAATGGAAAATAGCATAGAGTTAATGTTATATATCAGAAACTATTAAAGCATTCAAATACAACGAATAAATCACGTATACATATCTACATTATGTAATTTTTTTTGAGACTATCTCAAGAAGAAGAACTTTAAGCCTCAAATACAGTGGTTGTGAACATATCGTACCTATAGTTTCTTTTCATCATTTTTTTCATCAATACAATTTGAAAAGTTATACTCGTAAGTTGTCCGTCTTAATCATTTCCGTAAAAAAAAGAATATAAAGGAGAAGTTAGATATTATGTAATTTTAAATAAGGTAGGTGTATAATCTTGTAATTCCGCAAAGAAAACGTTTCCACATTTTTACGGTTCAAAAACTCTGACATTCCGTTCAATAAACATTAGAGTACGCTTGTTCAGGCTTCTGAATCCTGATGTGTTGATAACTCAATCATCGCGTGGCCGTTAGGATAATTGAATTCGTTATATTTACATATGCAAAGCCCGATTAGGCTTAATCGTAGATTTAATTTAGGGTTTTTGCTGTCATTTGACGATTTTCTGGTATTAAAAATGGAGAGAATTGTCGCAGTTTGATTTCTAAAGGGGTGATTATATTGGAACAAAATAAGTGCAAATCTAGGCACAGGAAATATTTAGTAAGGGCAGTAATAGACCTATTTCTAACGCGGTATTTAATTGTTAATGAAGAGAGAGAGAGAGAGAATAGCATACTTACCTACTATACGTATAAAATGGCATCTACTTTTCTTTGCTCGTATTACACCTATGCGACTACAAAGATCGACTTCGATAAAAAAAGAATACCTTAGAATCCCTATAGTACAGTTTATTAGACGTTAAAATAAACTGCGTAAACGCATCAGCAAGTCTGGTACTTAGCTAAAATAGAGAATCTTTCGTGCAGAATACACTAAGCGGGACAACCAGATGGATGCAGCTGAATTTGAAGTACTATCTGAAATTTGCAATAAACGGAAACTATTTTGACAGTATTCCGACCTAGAGTCTTCCAATATACTTAGGCTGAGTTAAAGTCAAAATAAGATGGTGCAACTCAGCCTTAATTCAATTCAAAATTATTATTTTCTGATACATGCACTTGGGCCATAAATTATCGTTAAATATCCTTGGATATTTTACACTGCGCTTCTAGTCCCAAACTAAGCAAAGCTTGTACAGTCACGGAATGAAAAGGTTCGTCAGTTTTCAAATTGATTCCTTCAATGAATCCCGAGCACATATTATTACCTTATGAAACTATGTTACACAATAATCTCGAGTTAGAGAAAATAATCTTTAACTGTTCGTCAGTAAAGTTCAAAATTATTCAGATCAAAGTTTTTTGACGATTTATCTTGTCAAGAAGATTATTATGATTGATAAACTAAAACCTTCTTGTTGGTTCAACCTGCCATTCTTATTTCTTATAAAATAAAAAAAAAACTATTGTCAATTGGTCAATGTCATCATTGCATTGCACTGATGGGATAGAAAAATAAACAAGCAAAACCTTATTTCGTTAGCAAACGTCATATTTATTTAAATGTTAGCAGCACTGTTTCTTGCACTGTTATGTTGGCAGGTTTGACTCTTACAGTACCTAGTGCAAGCGAAAACCGACACTAAGGTGACGAACCTTTTCATTCCGCGACTTTACTATGGGTACTAGACAACGGACATAAACATACTTGAATACTTTTTTTTTTGTAAATACATACATATTATACATAGAAAACACCCAGTCCAATACAAATAAAGCGAGAATCGAACCCGCAACCTCCGGAATAGTAGTCTTTTTCGAACCACTACACCAAACGGCCGACAAAGTTGTAACATAATAACTATAATATCTTAACATTTTACACACATAAAGAGCACTAATACTATCAATCTTTGCAAAAGGATTTCCAATATTTATCGTGGCTAATGGGATGTAAAATTTTATAGTATCGCCAATCTAAGATCGATTAAACAGAGAGTCGACCTTTTAGGGCAAACACCCTCTTTATGGCCGTGCGGTGTGTAAGTACCTTTTAAAAGCTTTTTAATGACTCTTGTTGCTTAAAATATACGCTATAACCAAAGCTTGATATACTCGTAGGTATTATGTTAAAAGTGCGTTGTTTAGCACATAATAAAAGTTATTCAGCTTTTTGTTTATTATACCTTTACACGTTGGAAATTACATTTCACAATTCTTCCTGTACCCTTTCATCGTTTTTAGATTTATTTTGTAATTGGATTCTCTTGATACGCAGGTCCGGGATTCAATTCTCGGGGGACATACATACAACACTTTGCGTAATATGTTGTTTGGCTATTAGGGCTATATTTCACCGGGACACCATGGCGGCGCAACCAGTCGCCGGCTACCAACAAAATGTATGCAGCTCTATAGAGAGTTACTCACCTGGTGTCCGTTTGGTTGCGCAAAGCTGCATACATTTTGTTGGTAGCCGACGACTGGTTGCGCCGCCATGGTGTCCCGGTGAAATATAGCCCTAAATGACTCACACCCGTATTCACAAACAATTCTTACTTATTAAGTGAAGCTGCAACGCTATGTGATGTCAAACGCACAGCGTTAAATAGAACTCCGTCGCCTGTATTTCCAAATGATGCTTGCTTAAGTGAAGCAGCAAATCGAACGCACAGCGTTGGTTCATGTGTCACCCCGTCCACGCGCACTGTGAGACCTCGTAGTAATATTTGGTTTGTGTGTCATTCCGATACTCAAGTATTGTCTATGAATAGGTTTTTGGGACCCTGTGCGTGCGTCCACGCGCACTGTGAGACCTCATAGTAATGTTTGTGAATACGCGTCAGTATTTCTATGTCAACACTTTAGTCAGTGGCAGATGCTTGGTATATTGACCAGGCTGGAGTTGGCTATAAATAAAAATATTTTTCAAATGTTCCTAAGTCAGTCAATCAAAATCAGTCAACAACTATAAGCTCAAAACATTGCACTCATGACCTTAGACAGACACTTCTTGGTCGAACAATCTTGGCACAAATAAACAAGCCATTTCAGTGACTCATAATACTATATTTAATCTAATAAACAGACAGACAGATATATCAAAGTATAAGGGTTCCTTGTCAGGACTACAGAACCCTAAAAAGGGCTCGGCTTGGCTTTCAATTAAACTTGTACACTACAAGAAATAAATACGGCTACAAAATAAAACTCGCAAATATAAAGTCATCGGTTCACTTAAGCTTCAGTCAACTTTTTTTAAATACTTTAGAAAGTAGCACATAACATCACATGCAATGACAGGACGGGCGACCAATGACAGGACGCGCGTCCTGACTTTGCGCATTGATCACCAGCGCATAGGCGATCTACACGCATTAGTTTGGCTGAAACTTTAAACTTTACAAAGTGACGCAATTTTTTTTACGTTTTCATGGCTGACGCGCACACGAAGTCATTAAAATTTGTTGAAATTAAAACTAAATTGTTGTTTTTCAATTGTTTCAGTGGCCGATTTCACAACGCAGATGTCACAGCTGTACGAGAGGCACTCGTCAGAGCTTCAAGTCCTCGTAGCCAGCTTTAGGAAACGAAGCGGTGAATTGAGGAAAGAAAGGTAAGTGTTACTTATAAGTAGGTACCTGTTATTGTAAGAGTTATTATGGATTGAACTTTTTGGCCGCGACGATGTTATGATAATGCCAGTTTCGTTCGGACAATCATTATGTCAGTTTTGTATCCTATTCCTTGGGTAGTACCTACATAAGATAGATAGTAATAGCACAGAATACATAATAGTAGCAACAGAAAGTGCACTCCTTTGTGTAGGATCAGATGCCGACATTTTAACGGTAATAATAATAATGCAAAATATCCAACGCACCTGGTGCATTCGAAATCGCACCTTACTACTACGCTCACAAGAGCGCAATTTTTTTGTGTTCAGAGTTGATCTACCTCACAGCTCAAGCGTCAGGATTGTATAAGCAAAGTAAAATAAATAAAAACTTAATTTTAAGAAGAATTTATTGTATTTACGATTGGTAAACTTTAATCTAGTGGTGTTTGTATAATCGTACTCTCTAAAGTACCTATTAATTACCTTCAGTGTTGCGATATTTCGAAATTGGACAAACAGTTTTAAAAGGTGTAGTGTCGGAAAATAGACACGGTGGAGATAAGTTCATGTTTTTATTAGCTAAAATAATTTTTTTGCTTCAGTTTTTTGTCATAAGTATTTCAAAATTATTTAAAAAGTGTAGTTTTTTTAAATTATTTATATCACTACAGTTAATTATTATTCCTAAATATTACGATTTTCCATTAAATAAGAATAACAGTGCTGTTGGAACAATAAACCTTGATTGCGACGATGATCGACCGAGCGTGTATTGTATAGGTACGCGTGTGTACACAGGCGCGTGGCGGCCCTGACTAATCTGCAACTTCAAGTTGTCGCGCGCTGTAGCTAATTATCTCGGCCGGCATAGGCGAGTGACGGAGGCCTGGTAATAGTGACAAAAAAGTATTGTTTGTCAACCAAACAAAAGGAAAACCCACACGTCTAGTGTTTCAAAATCAATCAATTGAAGCAAAAGTCACATTCAATTTTATAGGTAACTGATCCTAGTTAATGAACTAAGTTGTTTTTGTTTCAAACTTTGATTTAGGTAATAAAATAATAGGTATTATTGAGAAAGTAAATTTCAGTAAAAAGTTTCACAGTAATTAAGTTTTAATCAGTTCAATAACTAGGATTGATTACCGTTTCCTCGTAAAATTCAAATAAAATTTTCTTTACCGATCGCTCAGAGTAGTATGACTTCTTGGGATTTTGTACGTGTTACTAAAGGTTTCATAGGTATAATCGTAATTATCGTTTTGATAGTTAAAGTTTAAAAGACACAAAGTTATCTGAATATCAGAATCGAATAAAGCTTCACACCATCGCCGGCGCGTATGCGTAGTTGTCTACGAAGCTAATGTTTTGCGCAATCTCTTTCTAATTCTGTGGTGCAAAGTGTATCTCGTAGCTCGTAGCTGCTACGGAAACTTTTTCCTAAGAAGGAAAGAACGAATTAATTAACCTTTTAAGTCCAATGACCTCGTATTAAATTTCGTACCGGATAAGATTTCTGCATACGGTGGGATTATTTAAAGGTAACTCTGTGATATTAACTTTCAAATATCTAACTTTAATTTTATGAAACCGTAGCATGAATCGAATCGCGGCCAACAGCATGCTAGGTAAAACTATATAAGCAATGATTTTGTTCAAACAAAATAATTAATGCAAGACTTCTGCGGTGGTAAATGCCCACTAGCGCAAAAACCTAAGTCAACTATAGGTACAACATTATTTTTTATTAGGTTGGAGAATAATGCTCCAATCACACCAACGCGTGCAGATGGCCATCGCCGGCGCGATGACAGCGCGATCATAGGCCAATGACAGGTCGCGCGGACTGTCATGGGTCGCATGACCTGTCATTGTCGATGGTGATCTGCATGCGTTACTGTGGTTGAAGCTTTAGGCTGGGTTGCACTATCAAAAATCTATCAAACTCCATATAAAAAGCACCGGTTATCGTTATAGTTAGGGTGAAAGTTAGGTGGTGCAACTCAGCCTTAATGAATATTCATCATAACAATTAGGTACATTCACAGATTAGTACAGTGATTATACTATTATACACAGTACTGATAATTCTATTCGCATTAATAGTTCAATTAACGAGTTCATAACTAAGTAAAGTAAAGTAAAAAGTAAAAAATGTTTTATTTGACGAAACAGAGCGACATCACATTTACATAAATTACATAAAGAAGATAAACATTGTGCCCTGCTGTCAAATAGGGGCCCGCTCAGCATTAATCGGGGCATGCCATGGGCATGCCTCGACACCGATTTTCAGCGGGTCCCTTGACGTTGCTGCGCCCTACCGCCGAAGGAGAAGCACTCCGTAAAGTACCTGTCCGTCGGCGGGAACACGCAATAAGGGGGCGGCAAAAATGTACCCATAAAAAACAAACACAAAAATCAAATAAAAAATCAAATAAAAAATAATAAAAACAAAACAACAAATCAACAAAACCAACATTTATGCAATCTACGACAAATAGTTATATCGACAGCCGCTGGAGGCTTAATTAAACCGTTATTACGGTAACCAGGTTGAGGATAACGGTATTAGTAACGACCTGGCAAACGTACCTAATGTACAGGCTTGTCAAGATAAACACCGTGGCAACTTATGTCCTTGTAATAGATGCGATTTTTCAGCAAAATTATATGCCTAGTCCAATGCTGTCGTATAGGTACCTACATGCTAAGCTCCAGGTAGATTTTACTATGATATAATGCCCAAAAAAGAAAGGAAAAGCTTTAAAGTTCTGCCGTATTTGCGGCAATAGGCTAGTTGCCTAAAAAAAATATTTTAGTCCGTAATGTTTAATATCAAAAAATATTGGACTCACATATTTTTATTTGTCAATCTAACAAATAATTACATAGTTATGGTGCGTTGAAGTTGCGCACGACGTCACAACGTGCGGCATTTTTAAGCAAGCGTTGACGTCACGGGCCTCTTCTTATGAACTTTGGGGCGCTTTATCTCTTTAAATTTTCATTAGTTTGAAAAAGTGAAAAATACGTGTAGAGTATTTTTTGATAAGTTAAATGACGGACTAATTAAAACTCTTGCTTTTTGACCCAGGCAACATCCCCATTTATTTTAATAAATTGCCGCAAATAAAACGCCAAAGCCTTCCTCGATAAATGGGCTATCCAACACAAAAATATTTTTTCAAGTCGGACCAGTTAGTTCCTGAGATCAAACAAATTTTTCAGCTTTATAATATTCTGTATTGTGTATGTATGTGTAAACAACTAAGGAAATTAGTTTATCGAATACGTCAAAGCCTCCAACTAAGTTTCTTATGAAAAAAATCTTCTGTGCTTACTTACCTACTTCAATGTACTAGTTTTTCCTTTATCCGTGGAGTTATTTATCTTCTCCGAGCAAAGTTCCTATCCCCTGGGGCCCTTTAGACTATTTACCGAGTCCCGTCCACCTTGAACACCTACTAGGTCACTAGAACGCCTAGGTTACGCTTACTTAACATACAGGTACAGTTGGTTAATTCAATTTAGAAATGTAGGCATTGTTAAAACTATATCTGTAAAAGCGAAAGGTCACTGACTGACTGACTCATCACGAAATCTCAGAAACTACAAGTGGCAGGAGTCTCAAATTTTCCATGGGTGTTCCTTTTTAGAACGTAGCTGCGTAGGTGCTCACTAAGACGGGATTTTGCAAAATTCAACCCCCAAGGGGGTAAAACGGGATCTAAGCGGACGAAGTCGCGGAAGGCCGCTAGTTGCTTAATATACAAATGTCAAAAACTTTCTCTATTTAGATTTCTAATAATGACTTTTTTAAGCTCCGCGAACCAATTCCCTGATGGATTAGTGGGAACTTATTTGTCAGATAAAACTTCCTTCACAAGTTTCAGATAGAAAACATATCTAACCCCCGGTTTCCACTAAGCCTAGACGCAGACCATCGATTTTTAATCCGCCGATGGTTGGACCCGATTTTAATTTGGATGAAAATCAAATCGGTGTAATGTGTAACCTTCCATACACGCCCAAACTGATAACCTAACAAAAAATCGGTGGTCTGCGCTTTGACTAAGGCGGAGCAGAGCGGAGAAGTGTATTGAATAATCAATCAGATCCCATTATTTCCACTTCTCTCCGCTCCGCACAGCTCCGCTTCGAATCGCTCAACCGCCGCACTGTCAAAATTAAATTCTATAGAAAAAATGTATGCTCCTTCGCTCTGCTCCACTCCGTTCTGCTTTGGTGGAAACGGGGCCTAATAATAAGCATTGAAAGTTTCACAGTAATGTAATAATGTATATCTCCTCTTTATTTTATTAAATTACATTGTTAAAGTAAGAGCTACGGGTAAAATACGATAAATATGAATGATGATGAGCGATGATATCGGCAAATTGCAATGATAACTCTATATTCAATGCCCTTAATGACTGTTAGGGGCTTTTTGATGGATTACTTTTCCTGGCAAATTCGGATGATATTTCAAACAAACAACACCACAGAAAATCAATAAGCATTATGATAACAAATGCACATACCATTTAATTTAAAGGTACAGTTACACATGCTCATAAAATATCAAGCTTATTAGCATGCAAGCGTGGTCAAATAACTCCAAATGAGCATGCTTATTATTTGCAATGTTTCGGCACACATGCTGATAAGTAGCAATTGCTCAATAGTGGCATGCTTCCGTGCTAGTAATGAGCATGTGTAACTGTACTGTTCGATTTGGTTGGTTAGTTGTAGGACTTGTTCTAAGCCCGTCTGGCTAGCTACCACCATCTTACCTAAGTCTGCCGCCATAACAACAATGTTAACAGCATTGTTGTGTTCCGGCTGTTAAGAGGTAAGATAGCCAGTTCCTCTGTGGTTGAATATTTCGGGTGAAGCTCGCTTCCACCTTCGGCCTGATCATCACTAACCATCAGATGAAATACAAGCCAACAGCTTCCTCGTTGTGGATAAAAAAAGCATGTGTTGTGTAACTT